TAAGGCAACTGTATTATTATTATCTTTTTTTGGGGGGGGTGTATTCAAAGAGTTTATTTTTCTGTATCACTGAAGAGAACAAATGTAGTCGGATGTGTGTACTTATTTTTTCTCTCAGCTCCCCACCCCACCCCCCAACCTCTGACAAACAATAATGTGTTCCCTGAATCTGTATTCCTGAGGGAGGAATTGGAAGGCGTAAAGGAACCTCACCCTTCTTCCCAGTCACTCAACGCCAGAGGATCCAAGGCTCAGCCCTCAACTCGCTTCTCTGCCAATATTCACTTCCTGGGGCATGCTATCCAGTGTCCTGTATCTGATACCATCTTGCGCTAGTGACTCCAATCCAGACACATGTTTCCATGAAATGCAGACACTAGGGTATCTAATAGATATTTCAAACTTAACATTTGAAAATTGAACAAACTGAAAATGTAATTTCCACTCAGGCTCAACCTGCTTCTTCCTCAGTGTTCACCATTTCAGAAGGAACACCACAAATAGTCTGTGCTAAACTCGTCTGTCCTCCATCTCCTGAGCCACGATTATTAGGTGCAACAATTCAGTTACTTGTGGTGGAGAAGACAGAAGCTCAAGGGCCTAGGTTTTGCTGGCAGGGGGAGTAAGCTAGAGCTTGGGCAAGGACCTGGGAGCCTACCAATTTTTAACCGGATATTCTTTCACTCCAGTGAGAAAGACTCAGAGATTCTAAATCACGAGGAAACACGGGCGATGAAGTTGTGTGCAAAAACTGGAATCAGTGAAATGTAACAAGAATAAAATCAGTGTGCCTGATTATTTGCAAGTGCTCTGAAATTTTTATTTCCCCTTTTCTCACCCCAACACCAAACATATAAATACTTCTTGGGCCTGAGAGTTGTTACACATTAACAGGTTCATGCAAGAGGGCAATAGGATAGCGAGATTCTTGCTACTTTCCTAGGTGCTCTGCCACAGAAAGAGAGGATTAATGAAATGCATGGCGAAAGTGAGGTTTGGGGTTTATCTAGTCAATATCATTTAAAAAGAGATTTTGATTGATGTAATAATTAAAAACCACCATCTATGTACACCATCTATGCAGGTAGGAAACTGAGACTCAAAGTGACTTTAGGAGGGTTCATTAGGATAAACCCCTAGCACTAGAATGTGATTGCTTGAATTTCCCCATTCTCAAGTGACTCTAGTCAAGAACTCTTAGGTTTAAATCTCAGTTCTGTCATCTATCCGCTGTGTGACCTTGATAAGGGTTCTCCTCTAGAAAAATGAACATCTACCCCAGAGAATAGCTGGGAAGATTGAAAGAGAAATAACAGGGAAGCACAATTTGGGGGAAGGTCCAGTACAGTCTACGTGCAGCAAATGGGAGGGCTCTTGTTATGGCAATGATGGTCATGTTTAAAAACTCCAGGGTTCAGACACACACAAAAACAGCTTTGTAATGTTAAAACACTAAAGAACAAATGCAGATCTCGATATAATTATCTTTTCTGTTCCAAGGTGTAGAAAATTTCTAGGTGTTCTAGTGACGTGTCATAATATATAGTATAAGTCTCAAGACATGTTTACTAAGAAGGAAGCAGGAAATATTTTTAGCTTACTCATCCTTAGAAACATTCCAAAGGAATGAAAGAGAAAACACATATATTATTAATTAAGTTCGTGTTGGTGATCTCCATTACAAATTCATATAAGCATATTTGTCTATATGAGGGATCTCCATTATAAATTCATATAGGCACATTTGAGTATAAATTATACACTGAGGATAAGTATATAGGTTAGAGCAGCCAAAGGTGCCAAAGTATAATGAATTCCCCATGGCATGTGGCTCAAGTCCCCAAGAGAACAGTCCTACTGAAAGCCTGCTGATCCCCTTACCAAATCCACCTCTTTGGCAGCTACACCCTGTTTCAGTCTTTCTCACTCATGGGCCTGTTTCTTATTCAGATTGCCACCAGAAATGCCTGGAGTACTTTATATACACTCATTCAAATAACCCTGAATCACCATAGCTGATTTATTTTTATTCCATCTCCAAGTCATAATCAGAGCTGCCTCTACGGCAACTCCTAGTAATACTGATTGTCTCCAAACATGAAAGTTAGAAAAGGCACATGTTTGGGGCAAGCGTTGACTAGGGAGGCTCCGGCAAGCACTACTGACTGCACCTGACGAAATCCGGGGCAGGACACGAGCCCTAGGCTAAAGCCCACATAAGGCATAAAAACAGGGAAATGTCAGCAGAGGCCAGAAGGTTCCAGAAGGCTGAAGGAGCCAACAGCCTCCTCACTACAGTTCACAGTTTCCTATCTCCACAATAACCCCTAGGGGTGCAGATAGACAGAGGAGGTGAGATTCACCTGCCCCAAAGAACATACCCCAGAAAAAAAAATTTCCTTTTTTTTTTGCCCCAACCAACCGAGTAGCTTCTATGGCTATTTCCTGCCCTCTAATCTCTCCCCCTTCCAAATGAACCTTCTGAATAAGAGAGAGCAAAGGTCATCCTCAGGCCCCCCTCAGCCGTGCGCACCAGATGAGGCAGAGCGCTACAGCGGACAGTCTGCGATGAGGCCCAAGCTCAGGCCCTCACTGCCTCCTACCTACACTGCAGCACAGTTACCTACCCGCCCCTGTCCTGCTCCCCTCTGCCTCACCCTGCTAACGTTTAGTCTTCCTAAAATCGTGCATGGAGCATGCTACCCACCTCTTCCAGTGCCTCCATGAAGCATAGAAACTGAAGTTTAAACACAGTGGTTGAAACATATTCTGGCCCCAGTCTTTCTCCAGATCCCCGTATGAATCCCCACAAGCAGCCAAGCGATTCTCAGCACTTCTGCTTTCTCCATTCCTCAGACCCGACATCTGCTGCCTATCCGACTCCCGCCCATATTTTTTAAAACACAACTCAACCCCGTCTCTTCTATGAAATAGTTATCCTCTGGCTACCCTATTAGAGGGCTAAAATAAATAAATAAATAAATAAGCCCTCTCCATTCTCTGAATGCCTACAGTACATAAGCTATATGTCATGCATAAATATCATTCGTTCATTTATTCAATAAAATGCGCTCAAATGCCCTGTGCCAGGAGACCTTCTAGCCCCCAGCTGCCCCCAAAGAAGCCAAGTTCTAGGAGAGGAAAGGAAAGGAAGGAATCACCATTTGTTGTTAATTCTAAGGAGGCCACTGTGCCATCTATTTCCGTAGGTGAGCTCAGTTCATCCTCAGAACTTAATGAAGTAGCCGTTATTGTTATAACTCTACAGTAAGGGTCTCAAAGAGTTGAACGACTTGTCCAAGATTCTCAGGTATGTTCTTTATTCTCATTGCCCCTGACTCCTCTCAGTCTCTGCCCATCTCTGCCCTGCCCCATCCCTGGGCTGCGGATCTCTATGATCCACATCACCCACTCTCCCTTGCCCTCTGGCTTCCGGTGAGGTTGGGCCAACGGAAAGCACCTTCAGGAGCTAAGAGGGCATTTACTCCGCCTGCTCGCTGCCCGACTCACTGGGTTCTGGCCGTGGCTGCCTGCTCAGCCACAGCTCCTGGGGCAGGAGTCTCCCGCGGCTTCAGCTCCCCTTACCCCAGCCAGTAGCATCACTGCCTCCTGCTGCCCTTTCAGGCGAGGAGTGGTAGGTAGGCAGGCTCCACTTGAAGGCTGGTGAAGCTTAGGCTTAGCCCTGCCCACACCTCTGGAAACAGTCCTTTCGTTAAACTCTCTTCAGTTAAACTCTCTTATTATGTCAACTGTTTCCTGCCAAGTACACAGAGCAGGATTTGAACCCATGTCTGTCTTACGACAGAGCCTGCCTTTTTCACTTGGATGGCTGCTATGTTGGAGATCTGCACAAAATGCTGAGGATCAAAACAAAAGGCACCTCACTCACAGGGTCAGAAAAGACTCTGGACAAGTCACTTGATCATGAGTCATTCTTAAGAGGTGAACTGGAATTCACCAGGCAAAGAGGGAGGACAGGAATTCAAGGACAAAGTGAAGAGCCAGCTCAAAGTCACAGGGGCGTGGGGAACACATCTTATTATCCAAGGCAGTTATGACCAGTGCTCAAAGACTACCAAGTCGAAGTTTGATGGTCCCCTAGGCTGGCAGGAGAAATGAGAAAAACAGGCTCCCCCCAGTATAGGAGTAAACCACAGGGGAACTTTTTTTAATGCTGAAGCAATGTAAAATTATCACAGTCATGAAATACTTTTTAAAAACTTTTAAGTGGCACTTTCCTAAGCCCCAAATCCTTAATTGTCACAGCATTGGTAAAAGTCCATGTGAGAATCCCAACCACAAAAAAAACACCAAAGCACAAAAAGCGATGCGTGCAGGAGATGAGCAGGAGGTGGAGGCCGGCTCCCAGCTCCCAGGCGAGCCCCAGGCCTCCAAGGCAAGGAGGCACTGCAGCCCACAGAGATGTAGGGCACTGGGTTAGAAGAGGACGATGCTGCTGCCCTGGACAGTGTAAAGGTGACACCTGAGAAGGCCAGCATGCTTCCCGTCTCCCTGGTTGGCTGCAGAGGGCAGAGCAGGACTCACTGGCCCAAGCCTCCCTGAGGGGTTCAGCTACCGCCCCACACTCCAGCCCCGCTTGGCCCCCTCTGCCTCCCACTGCTTCTTCTGTCCTGATGCTGGCTGTGTGGATGTCCACTTTACCAGCTCTGATCTCGTCACTACCACAGCCTCAGCTTCTTGACTCTACGACCCCTGTCCTCATGCTAGAGCCCGGCTCTAACGGGACTCAGAGCTCACCAGTTTTTAAATCCATCTGTCTGACCGTGACTAGCTCTGGCCTCTTTGACAACTCTCTGCCCCACAGCTTTCTGTGAAACCACATTCCTTGCCGGAATTCATGTGCATATACCACCACTTGTTGGAGATAACAACAGAATAAACTAATTATTTAAAATTAAACATTTAAAGATAATACTTGAAGACAATTTTAAAAAAAACGATTTCTTTAATATTCTTATAAAAGACAATTCTCTACTTACAGGCCTTCTGGTTGAAGCACCTTGGACAGACTGATAGAATTCTGGCTGGACTCGACTGCTTTTCTTGATTCTTCGTTTCCTCACCAAGATCTCTTTATCGCTCTGATGGTGAACTTCCACCACAGGCTTGGCTTCTTCCAGACGGGCAGCTGCAACGGCTGCAGCTCGCCTTCTGCTGTGCCGAGGGCTTGCTCTGAATCCCTGTGGTGGAAGACACAACCGAATACATCCAGGTTTGTATTGAGTTAGCTTGGAAATTCTCTGGGGCTGGTTATACAGAGAGCTCCAAAAGCCACAAGCTTAATGAGATCATTTACATTCCCAAAGTGAGCATGTACAAAGAGGCTCAACATGCAAGATTTCTGTAAGCAAGATTCGTGTGCTCTGTAAAGCACTTGTGTCTCAGGGCCAGAGTTACTTTTCGGAGTTACTCCCAGGATTAAGAAACGTTTATAACAAAAAAAGAAACAATCGAACAAACAAAACAAATAGACTCATAAACACGCCATGTAAGAGGTGGGGGCAGGTGGGGGCAATGGGTGAAATAGGAAAAAATTCAGTGAGTATATTTGATATCTGGATCTGCGTGGTGGCTACATGAGTGTATACACATGTCAAAATGCATCAAGTGGTATGCTAAGATTAGTGCATTTTATTGTATATACCTCAATTTTTTTAATGTGAAAAAGAAGAAATGTTTTTAATCCATTCTGGGTAAAATTGCAATATTTCCAGAAATTCTCACCTGGCTTTAGTGCATCTCCATATCAATGGGTAATTACATGGCAAGCAAGGGCTTATCTGGACCAGAAAGGTTGGGGGAGTATTCACTTGCTTGGGCCACAGCAAGAGAGAGATGTTGGACGACTGCTTGTAAGCAATAAACGGGTTTTAAACTTTATTTCTCCCTTTGACTGATTTCAGTTTCAAAGGTATTTTGCCCTAGCATTTCCCCTCCCTGGAGTTACACCTGTAAAGCCAGTCCAAATAAAAAAGGCAAGTGGGCACATTGCTTTACTTGTATGTATGTAAATCAGACTGCGTGTGAAGAAGAATATTTCCACAGAGGCATGAAGCAGGGGGAAGGGGCAGGAGTGAGTATTATTCCAGGGTAAAGGTCCACTCTACCTTCCTGAAGGCAGACTCTGAAAGAAGGAAAGTGGGATTGCAAAGCATCATTATAAAATACCATGAAGACTGAATGCTAAATGGAGACAGTGCAATAAGGCAAAGACGACGTTCAGCCAAGCAGTACTACGCATTTGGGAAACAAGTTTGGAAAATTACGTATGTCCACAAAGAATTACAGGTGTCCATGGAGCTTACAATACTGAAGAGCACAAGAAGTCCAACACAGAGTTCGTAAACACACTGGAGTGTAATTAAGGGTTAAAGTGGGCAGTGGTGGATTCAGCTCAGACACCTCAGAGAAGAAATCAATGAAGGAAGCTGAGAACAGTCTATATTTGGCTTAGTTAGGTGGGTGGCATTTGAAGAATGAATAGTATTTATATTCCAGGCAAGGGAAACAACCTAAGGAGTGAATGAAGAAGTAAAATGATGAACAGATGAATGGACCACGCAGTGATAAGACACCTTACTTCATTATGTGCCAGGATGAGAATATATAGGCTACACATGAAGTATGGTGGGAAATTAGGAGGAGGTGTGACATGCTCTAAGGAGGGCCTCTTTGGGGTTGTGGGTCTTCGGAATTTTAAATGATGTAAAAAAAAAAGTAAAGATTAGAGTACAGAAATGAATGAACAGTAAGAATTCAGGGGAGAAAGCAGTATGAGATACTGAAAGACAAATGCATACAGGGGAATTCTCACGGAGGGTCCCGGGAAAAGGCCTGGGGTCTGACTACGGACCCTGAGGATCAGGCTTAAGGATATGAAGAAGGAGAAAAAGAAGACAAAAGTAGAGTCTGAACCCCATCGTCAAAAGTAGCACTAAAGTCAGCAGAAATCATTAAGGAAGAGATGCAAGCGGATCGGCAAAAATGGGGCCATTGTCTGGACTCTTTCCTCTCACCCACAGACACATTAGCCTATTCCCATCCCTCCTCTGCGTGCAAGCTCACTGGGTCCTGCTCAACCCAAGAGAGCCCCAGAAGGTCCCCTCAGCTCCCACATAACTCAGGAAATAGGCTGCAGCTGCAGAAGAGGATTAAGAGGGAGCTGGGCCGACTGCTCAGCTGAGTTCTAGACTTAGAATCAGACATGTCAGAATCGGCAGGCCCAGGGGCCACGTTCTAAACATGCAGGCTCCTGGACACCCCTCCCACCCCCGCACACACTCACACACATGTACACACTCTCTTTCTCTCTCTTTCCTTCCTTCCTTTTGAATTAGACCCACTAGGAGTGAAGCCAAGAAGCTCATTTTTTAAGAAGCTCCTCTGGTAACTTTTCTGTACTCGGAAAATTGCAGGAACCTCATGAGTTGGGGCTTAGTCTAACCACTAGGTGGCGGTAACTTCCACGTCCTCACAGTCTTGTTCAAAAATGTGGGCCCTGGGAGAGTTAACTAAGTATTTGATACTGTCATAGCTTGGCAAGTCGGGTACATTTCTTTGGTGAGAAGGCAGATTGTCTTTCTCTTATGCTTTTATGAGAAATAAGCAACCAAATATTGCTTGACTTGTAACAATACAAGTTATGATACAATATTATTACCAAAAGTCTTCGGTGGTCTACATAACAAACTCTAGAAACACTTGGGAAAACAAGGACTAAAGGTGACCACCCCCAAAAAGATTAAGATTGAATCATGTTGGTACAGTTATTCTGGGCAGCAATGACACAGTAAATTATTATGTTCTGCATACTTGTATCTACTCTAGAGAAATTCTACAAAGTATGCCCAAGAATATATTCAAGCATTACTTATAATAATAAATATTAGAAACATTTAAATCTGTCTTTCCTAAATGTCAGTCATTTCATTCCACCTTCAAATGCTTTAAAAGATCTAAGCACTATCACAGGCCTCTGTGATTTCTGTGACATCCAAATATATTTTGGAGAAATACATGGAGAATATCGTCAGTGATTCTGTAACATCTTCCTATGTTGACAGTAACTGCACTAGCGGGGGTGAGGATTTAATAACATGGGTAACTGTTGAACCACTGTATTGTATACTTGAAACCAATAAAAGATTGTAAACCAATGATACTTCAATTCAAAAAATTTGAAAAAAAATATACTTACTCCTTTTAAATAACTTTTGATAAGCACCATAGTATACAGACTGCAGCCAGATTATATGGGTTCAGATACTGCGTTTGTCACTTCCTAGTTGTGTGATCTTAGATAGCTACTTCTTTGGGCTCTAATACAAACTCTTTCACTTCCTAGGTATGCAATCTTGGCCAAGTTACTTCTCTATGCCTCAGTTTCTTCATCTGCCAAAAACATATATTAATACCTCTCTGACAGCATATGATTTATGTGAGATAATACACAGTAGGTACTTAGAACCATACATGGATTACAAGAAGTAGTCAATAAATTATTACCATTTTTATTACTACTTCACTTCCTGGATGTTGTGGCAGCAATTCACATGCCAGGAGGTCAGAGTTGTGACCACAAACACTATAAACAACACAGAGTCATCACTGAGTGGTCACCTGGTTTATTTCCCTAACCCACTGCATAGAATTACAGGTCCTCAGCTTATTACACTTGCTTGTCCTGAATCCTATAAAAGAAGTCGCCACTTTTAACAGGAAGACATTTTATTTTGAAACAGTGGGTGTGCTATAAACTCTTACAGGTGTTAACACTATTTAATGGTGTAGGTATAGAGACCATTTCTGACTGGTTATTTGATTTTGCCTGGATGCCCTTTAACCAGATGACAAGTGTAAATGACAGACACTTGGAAGTCTCTCAGTAATGGACTTGAGCCACTTTTAGGACCCCTCGTTTTATCAGCACCTTTTGGTTCACAACTTCCCAAGATACAGTCTTGATACAGAGGTGAGTGGCTGATACCACGGCCCACTCCCGATGTTGCCCCTTAATAACCTGTACAGTTCACACGTAGGCACATGGCCAAGGCTCAAGCAACTGATCTCTCTGCTTGGACACCGAATATTAAATGGGAAGATGTAAACACCAAGAAACTCAAACTTAACCAGACTGACTGGCTGTGTAGACTGGCACAAAAAGGGAAGGGATATTAATAGCAATAATTTACTAAACACAATTGAGGTGTGAGGCCTATTATATCTACTTCATAGACAAGAAATCTGAGGTTTATTGGGGTTAAGTAATTGACATAAGGCAAAAACTTACAATTAGAAAAACCCATGTTAGAACCAGATCTATCTAACTCCAAATAGATGCCCTCACCGCTCTGTTCTTAGGCAGAGACATTTTAAGGCAGTAATGCTTTCAAAGCTAATCTTCTACATAAACTCATAGGCCTGGACACCAAAGTACTCAGAAATGTAAGCTGATTGATTAACACAAGAAAAGGTCTATAAACAATTTATATAAGTGGGGAAGAAATTGAAGAAGTTAACATTTTGGGTTAAAGAATTACTGTTACATAGATCAAACTACCACCCAGTTCATAGAGGAAGCATTGGAAAAAAGAAACCGAATATACTAGGCATTTATAAAGAACTGGTTTTGTATTATTGCTACACATACATGAACAGCTAAGGTTTGTAGGTAAATGAGATACAAACTTACCATATACAAATATTATGAAGTTCAATAAGCTGATGTTTCTATATAGTATATAATACCCTGAAAAAACACTTTGATTCTTCTCATCCAAGGCTAGAAATAAAGTATATAGCAGAAGTTCCTGGATCCATGAATAAAATTCAAGGCACATGGATGGTGAAAAATTATACCTTAATTCTCACTAACCTCCAACTGAAATGTACCATATTGCTCAATTGTGAATGTTGGACATAAATCTGATATTATTAGCAGTACCTGTCACTTTTTCCACCAAAATAAACCACAGATAATTATGTATTAAGTTATAGTGGCTGCAGATATCTTGAAATACCATATGTACTCATCCTTAATTCAAAATCACAGTACTTGGTAAATCTGCCACCAGATTTACCAATTAAATTTGTAATTTAATTCACTAATAAAGAAGTTCAAATATGGCTCTGTCCAAGTATTTTTTATTTATAATGATATTTCAATATAATCAGTTGCCCT